TAAATGGGTGCCAACCCATCCCCCTCACCCACCTAGACAATACATGGGTGCCAACCCAGCCCACTCACCCACCTAGACAATACATGGGTGCCAACCCAGCCCCCTCACCCACCTAGACAATAAATGGGTGCCAACCCAGCCCACTCACCCACCTAGACAATACATGGGTGCAAACCCAGCCCCCACCCCCATCCACCTAGACAATAAATGGGTGCCAACCCAGCCCCTTCACCCACCTAGACAATAAATGGGTGCGAACCCAGCCCACTCACCCACCTAGACAATAAATAGGTGCCAACCCAGCCCCCTCACCCACCTAGACAATAAATGGGTGCCAACCCAGCCCACTCACCCACCTAGACAATAAATGGGTGTCAACCCAGCCCCCTCACCCACCTAGACAATACATGGGTGCCAACCCAGCCCACTCACCCACCTAGACAATAAATGGGTGCCAACCCATCCCCTCACCCACCTAGACAATACATGGGTGCCAACCCAGCCCCCTCACCCACCTAGACAATAAACGGGTGCCAACCCAGCCCACTCACCCACCTGGACAATACATGGGTGCAAACCCAGCCCCCACCCCCATCCACCTAGACAATAAATGAGTGCCAGCTCAGACCCCTTCCATTAAATGAAGAAAACAATGCGACAACTACGATATTAGGATCAACATAGACACAAGAGAAGTGATGACATTCTCCAGGAAAGGAAGAACCATCGATATCAAAACTGATGAACACCAGTTAATGCAGGCATGGATTTTACACAACTGGGAAGCATTTTGTCAGCAGACGGAAGAATAAATAAAGAAACCCAACAAAGATGCAATCACGCTTATCAAGTCTGAGGTTAAATTGCACCAATTTTGAAATGCAAGTATATGAACATGTACATTAAAAGAATACTGTTCAACACAATATTCTTACCAACCCTCTGCTATCAGTGTCAAACATGGACACTGTCTTCAGAAGGCAAAAGGGAAAAGGTCTTGACGGAAATAACATGTTTACGTACTAAGATGTTTGTAGTGAGGACGATCGATTTAGGAACGATTATATCAGGAGGAGAGTCGGCACAGAACCAATATTGAACTTTATAGCTAAACAACAACTCAAATGGTTTGGCCATGTAACAAGACTGGCATTAGACAAGGCCCCACAGCGAGCAATGTTATGCAAATACAGCGGTAGAAGATGGACCACAGAAATATCAGACACTGTAAAGTACTATGAAGCGAACAGAAGAGCAGATTCCAGAGACACCGCGAGACTTTCCAGGAGTACAGACAAGAACAAGCATAAGAGTGTCCCGTAAGAAACGTGGGGATGGCGTGGCCGGGAGGGCGGGGGAGAGGGAGTAGAGAACAGAGGTGTTGCTCCAGAGACCTAAGTCTAGACGTCCGGCACCTTTGTGAACAACTGCCCACCTTTTTACTGATGCCCCCAAACAGTCTTTCTGTCCTCAGTCCTGTCTTGTTGTTTCTAGCCAGACAACAAATTAGGCCTTCCATTATAAAATGTACACTCTATCACGAAGCCCTGGCTTACTAACTGTTATTCTAAGTTAGGACATATGCAAACACACTACTATAATTAAGGTATGCTAATATCGTTGTTTTGGGTATGTGTGTGCGTAGTGTTTGTGTGTAAATCGTGTCTATGTGTGAGTGTATGGTGTGTCAATGTGTGTGCTCTGTCAGTGTGTGTTTTATGTTTGTAAGTATGTGCCTGTATATGCGGTATATGTGTGCGTTTTGAGGTGTGTCTGTGAGTGTTGTATCTGTGTCTATCTGTGTGTATGTGTAGTGTGAGGTGTATGACGTGTCTGTATATGCACTGTGTGTATCGGGTTTAAATAGTGATGTTTCAACATAACATGTTTGTTTGATAATCTACAGCTGCCGTGTGAAAGTTAAAAGGGTCGAATGTCCGACAGGCCTGCCAAGCAAACTTGTAGCGGTTTGGAAACACATTTCGTTTGTTCGTTCATTCTCCGAGATCTAGTTGTTGACTGCTCTGTGTTTCCGTAAAACTGTCCCTTGTTTTCTAATCCTGCTGCCCTTTAATGAACTTTAATTACATTATTTGCGCACGCCCTGCATGTGGATATCGTTCGTTCCCTCGCTCATACTTATCCCTCCTGCAAAGTAAAATAAAATCCTCCGGCCAAGGACAGTTTTTGAGCCGGGGATGTGACTCCGGAGAATGAGAGATAATCTCCTGCAAGTCACGCCACGTTCAATCCCCGAGCTTCCGGTCACCTCCCCCGGGGGCTCTTCCATTGAACAATTCTGCAACAATTTTCTAGCGCCGTGTAAATAGCTTTGGTTTGAGATCTGCTTCCTGTCTTTTTGTTCCCTTCATCCCCGTCTCTCTGGTAGTTTCTTTCTCGTTTTTCTCCTCATTCTCTTCTTCTTTGTCTTCTTTTACTTATTCTCCCCTTCATACCCCAATAGAGCATAGGCCCTCAACTAACTATCGCATACACGTCGTTTCGTTTTATCCAACGTCTCTGTGGTGGTGTCTGGTTCCGCTCCCCCAACTCCTATCCCTGCTATAGTGTGATCAACACAAGATTAGACCCAATGCCTCCACAACAAGCATGTCGCAGCAGTCCACTAATTAGGGGCTTCCTTCGAAGCGGAAGAGCATGTGGCTGAGAGGTAAAGAACCAACAGACTGCACACAAATAAGCCAGGTCTGTAAAACGGATGTGCACCTAAATCTCAAGTTCTCGGAAAAGGCTGAAGTCAAGAAGTGGACAAACCACCAGAACTTTCTAACTGATTACAGCCAGTGAACTAGGAGAAGAAGAGAAGATGTCAGCTATGGCCGACCAGAAGTGGTGAACGATTGAGTACTATGACATCTTTAGTTGCTCCCAACACTGTGTGTCCCGGTTGCTCTCATTATACCCTTGGCTCAACTTCCACCGAAGAACCTGGCCAGTAGAACGCATGTCTGTTCTGTTGGCAGACGTTTGGTTTTGTGTCGTGGTTTGAAGAAACTTAAGCAGACCATATACTGAAGGCTGTTTTAGTTCGTGTTGTCAAGGTTACATCAGAAACTCATTATTTCCGGTCTGAGTGACATGTGTTCTCTCCATATTTTTCCGAGAATGTGTGTTCTTTGTCTACTTTCCCGACAACGTGTGTTCTCTGTCTACTCTCCCGACATTGTGTGTTCTTTGTCTACTTCCCCGACATTGTGTGTTCTCTGTCTACTTCCCCGACAATGTGTGTTCTCTGTCTACTTCCCCGACAATGTGTGTTCTCTGTCTACTTCCCCGACAATGTGTGTTCTCTGACTACTTCCCCGACAATGTGTGTTCTTTGTCTACTTCCCCGACAATGTGTGTTCTCTGTCTACTTCCCCGACAATGTGTGTTCTCTGTCTACTTCCCCGACAATGTGTGTTCTTTGTCTACTCTACAATTGTGTTCTCTGTCTACTTCCCGACAATGTGTGTTCTTTGTCTACTTCCCCGACAATGTGTGTTCTCTGTCTACTTCCCCGACAATGTGTGTTCTCTGTCTACTTCCCCGACAATGTGTGTTCTCCGTCTACTTCCCCGACAATGTGTGTTCTCTGTCTACTTCCCCGACATTGTGTGTTCTCTGTCTACTTCCCCGACAATTTGTGTTCTCTGTCTACTTCCCCGACAATTTGTGTTCTCTGTCTACTTCCCCGACAATTTGTGTTCTCTGTCTACTTCCCCGACAATTTGTGTTCTCTGTCTACTTCCCCGACAATTTGTGTTCTCTGTCTACTTCCCCGACAATTTGTGTTCTCTGTCTACTTCCCCGACAATTTGTGTTCTCTGTCTACTTCCCCGACAATTTGTGTTCTCTGTCTACTTCCCCGACAATTTGTGTTGTCTACTTCCCTGACAATGTGTGTTGTCTACTTCCCCGACAATGTGTGTTGTCTACTTCCCTGACAATGTGTGTTGTCTGTCTACTTCCCTGACAATGTGTGGTGTCTATCTACTTCCCCGACAATGTGTGTTGTCTACTTCCCCGACAATGTGTGTTGTCTGTCTACTTCCCCGACAATGTGTGTTGTCTGTCTACTTTCCCGACAATGTGTGTTGTCTGTCTACTTCCCTGACAATTTGTGTTGTCTATCTACTTCCCCGACAATTTGTGTTGTCTGTCTACTTCCCTGACAATGTGTGTTGTCTGTCTACTTCCCTGACAATGTGTGTTGTCTGTCTACTTCATCGACAATGCGTGTTGTATGTCTACTTCCCCGACAATTTGTGTTGTCCGTCTACTCTCCCGCCAATGTGTGTTGTTTGTCTACTTTCCCGACAATGTGTGTTGTCTGTCTACTTTCCCGACAATGTGTGTTCTGTGTCTACTCTCCCAACAATGTGTGTTGTCCGTCTACTCCCAACAATGTGTGTTGTCCGTCTACTCTCCCAACAATGTGTGTTGTCCGTCTACTCTGCCAACAATGTGTGTTGTCCGTCTACTCTCCCAACAATGTGTGTTGTCCGTCTACTCTCGCAACAATGTGTGTTGTCCGTCTACTCTCCCAACAATGTGTGTTGTCCGTCTACTCTCCCAACAATGTGTGTTGTCCGTCTACTCTCCCAACAATGTGTTTTGTCCGTCTACTCTCCCAACTACATGTGTTGTCTGTCTACTTCCCCGCCAATGTGTGTTGTTTGTCTACTTTCCCAACAATGTGTGTTGTCTACTTCCCCGACAATTTGTGTTGTGTGTCTACTTCCCCGACAATGTGTGTTGCCAGCCTACTTCCCGGACAATGTGTGTTGTTTACTTCCCCGACAATGTGTGTTGTCTGTCTACTTCCCCGACAATGTGTGTTGTCTGTCTACTTCCCCGACAATGTGTGTTGTCTGTCTACTTCCCCAGACAATGTGTGTTGTCTGTCTACTTACCCAACAATTTGTGTTGTCTACTTCCCCGACAATGTGTGTTGTCTGTCTACTTCCCCGACAATGTGTTTGTCTACTCCCGGACAGTGTGTGTTTGTCTGTCTACTTTCCCGAAATTTTGTGTGTTGTCTACTTTTCACCAACAATGTGTGTTGCCTGTCTACTTCCCCGACAATGTTGTGTTGTCTGTCTACTTTCCCAACAATGTGTGTTGCCTGTCTGCTTCCCCGACAATGTGTCTTGTCCGTGTAGTTTCCCGACAATGTGTGTTGTCCGTCTAGTTCCCCGACAATGTGTGTTGTCTGTCTACTTCCCCGACAATGTGTGTTGTTTGTCTACTTCCCCGACAATGTGTGTTCTCTGTCTACTTCCCCGACAATGAGTGTTGTCTGTCTACTTCCCCGACAATGTGTGTTGTATGTCTACTTCCCCGACAATGCGTGTTGTATGTCTACTTCACCGACAATGCGTGTTGTATGTCTACTTCCCCGACAATGTGTGTTCTCTGTCTACTTCCCCGACAATGTGTGTTCTCTGTCTACTTTCCCGACAATGTGTGTTGTCTGTCTACTTCCCCGACAATGTGTGTTATCTGTCTACTTCCCCGACAATGTGTGTTGTCTGTCTACTTCCCCGACAATGTGTGTTCTCTGTCTACTTCCCCGACAATGTGTGTTCTCTGTCTACTTCCCCGACAATGTGTGTTCTCTGTCTACTTCCCCGACAATGTGTGTTCTCTGTCTACTTCCCCGACAATGTGTGTTGTCTGTCTACTTCCCTGACAATGTGTGTTGTTGTCTACTTCCCCGACAATGTGTGTTGTCTGTCTACTTCCCCGACAATGTGTGTTGTCTACTTCCCCGACAATGTGTGTTGTCTGTCTACTTCCCCGAAAATGTGTGTTGTCTACTTCCCCGACAATGTGTGTTGTCTGTCTACTTCCCCGACAATGTGTGTTGTCTACTACTTCCCCGACAATGTGTGTTGTCTGTCTACTTCCCCGACAATGTGTGTTGTCTGTCTACTTCCCCGACAATGTGTTGTTCTGTCTACTTCCCCGACAATGTGTGTTGTCTGTCTACTTCCCTGACAATTTGTGTTGTCTGTCTACTTCCCTGACAATGTGTGTTGTCTATCTACTTCCCTGACAATGTGTGTTGTCTGTCTACTTCCCTGACAATGTGTGTTGTCTGTCTACTTCCCCGACAATGTGTGTTTTCTATCTACTTCCCCGACAATTTGTGTTGTCTGTCTACTTCCCCGACAATGTGTGTTGTCTACTTCCCCGACAATGTGTGTTGTCTACTTCCCCGACATTGTGTGTTGTCCGTCTACTTCCCCGACAATGTGTGTTGTCCGTCTACTTCCCCGACAATGTGTGTTGTCTACTTCCCCGACAATGTGTGTTGTCTACTTCCCCGACAATGTGTGTTCTCTGTCTACTTCCCCGACAATGTGTGTTGTCTACTTCCCCGACAATGTGAGTTGTCTATCTACTTCCCCGACAATGTGTGTTGTCTGTCTACTTCCCTGACAATGTGTGTTGTCTATCTACTTCCCCGACAATGTGTGTTGTCTGTCTACTTCCCCGACAATGTGTGTTGTCTGTCTACTTCCCTGACAATGTGTGTTGTCTATCTACTTCCCCGACAATGTGTGTTGTCTGTCTACTTCCCCGACAATGTGTGTTGTCTGTCTACTTCCTTGACAATGTGTGTTGTCTGTCTACTTCCCTGACAATGTGTGTTGTCTGTCTACTTCCCTGACAATGTGTGTTGTCTGTCTACTTCCCCGACAATGTGTGTTGTCTATCTACTTCCCTAACAATGTGTGTTGTCTGTCTACTTCCCTGACAATGTGTGTTGTCTATCTACTTCCCTGACAATGTGTGTTGTCTGTCTACTTCCCCGACAATTTGTGTTGTCTGTTTACTTCCCTGACAATGTGTGTTGTCTGTCTACTTCCCTGACAATGTGTGTTGTCTACTTCCCCGACAATGTGTGTTGTCTGTCTACTTTCCTGACAATGTGTGTTGTCTGTCTACTTCCCTGACAATGTGTGTTGTCTGTCTACTTCCCTGACAATGCGTGTTGTATGTCTACTTCCCCGACAATTTGTGTTGTCCGTTACTCTCCCGCCAATGTGTGTTTTTCTACCCGACAATGTGTGTTGTCTGTCTACTTTCCCCAACAATGTGTCTGTGTCTTATCTCCCAACAATGTGTGTTGTCCGTCTACTCCCCAACAATGTGTGTTGTCCGTCTACTCTCCCAATGTGTGTTGTCCGTCTACAACAATGTGTGTTGTCCTGTCTACTTCCCAACAATGTGTGTTTGTCCGTCCTACTCTCCGCAACAATGTGTGTTGTCCGTCTACTTCCCCAACATGTGTGTGTTGTACTCGTCCGTACTACTCTCCCAACAATGTGTGTTGTCCGTCTACTCTCCCAACAATGTGTGTTGTCCTGTCTACTTCCCCAACAATGTGTGTTGTCTGTCTACTTCCCCGACAATGTGTGTTGTCTGTCTACTTCCCCGACAATGTGTGTTGTCTGTCTACTTCCCCGACAATGTGTGTTGCCAGCCTACTTCCCCGACAATGTGTGTTGTTTACTTCCCCGACAATGTGTGTTGTCTGTCTACTTCCCCGACAATGTGTGTTGTCTGTCTACTTCCCCGACAATGTGTGTTGTCTGTCTACTTCCCCGACAATGTGTGTTGTCTGTCTACTTCCCCGACAATGTCTATTGTCTACTTCCCCGACAATGTGTGTTGTCTGTCTACTTCCCCAACAATGTGTGTTGCCTGTCTACTTCCCCAACAATGTGTGTTGTCTACTTCCCCAACAATGTGTGTTGTCCGTCTACTTCACCGACAATGTGTGTCGTCTACTTCCACGACAATGTGGGTTCTCTGTCTACTTTCCCGAAATTTTCTGTTCTCTGTCTACTTTCCCAACAATGTGTGTTGCCTGTCCACTTCCCCGACAATGTGTCTTGTCCGTGTAGTTCCCCGACAATGTGTGTTGTCCGTCTAGTTCCCCGACAATGTGTGTTCTCTGTCTACTTCCCTGACAATGTGTGTTGTCTGTCTACTTCCCCGACAATGTGTGTTGTCTGTCTACTTCCCCGACAATGTGTGTTCTTTGTCTACTTCCCTGACAATGTGTGTTCTCTGTCTACTTCCCCGACAATGCGTGTTGTCTGTCTACTTCCCCGACAATGTGTGTTGTATGTCTACTTCCCCGACAATGTGTGTTGTATGTCTACTTCCCCGACAATGCGTGTTGTATGTCTACTTCCCCGACAATGTGTGTTCTCTGTCTACTTCCCCGACAATGTGTGTTGTCTGTCTACTTCCCCGACAATGTGTGTTATCTGTCTACTTCCCCGACAATGTGTGCTGTCTGTCTACTTCCCCGACAATGTGTGTTGTCTGTCTACTTCCCCGACAATGTGTGTTCTCTGTCTACTTCCCCGACAATGTGTGTTCTCTGTCTACTTCCCCGACAATGTGTGTTCTCTGTCTACTTCCCCGACAATGTGTGTTCTCTGTCTACTTCCCCGACAATGTGTGTTGTCTACTTCCCTGACAATGTGTGTTGTCTACTTCCCTGACAATGTGTGTTGTCTGTCTACTTCCCCGACAATGTGTGTTGTCTACTTCCCCGACAATGTGTGTTGTCTGTCTACTTCCCCGACAATGTGTGTAGTCTACTTCCCCGACAATGTGTGTTGTCTGTCTACTTCCCCGACAATGTGTGTTGCCAGCCTACTTCCCCGACAATGTGTGTTGTTTACTTCCCCGACAATGTGTGTTGTCTGTCTACTTCCCCGACAATGTGTGTTGTCTGTCTACTTCCCCGACAATGTGTGTTGTCTGTCTACTTCCCCGACAATGTGTGTTGTCTGTCTACTTTCCCGACAATGTGTGTTGTCTGTCTACTTCCCCGACAATGTGTGTTGCCAGCCTACTTTCCCGACAATGTGTGTTGTCTACTTCCCCGACAATGTGTGTTGTCTGTCTACTTCCCCGACAATGTGTGTTGTCTACTTCCCCGACAATGTGTGTTGTCTGTCTACTTCCCCGACAATGTGTGTTGCCAGCCTACTACCCCGGCAATGTGTGTTGTTTACTTCCCCGACAATGTGTGTTCTCTGTCTACTTCCCCGACAATGTGTGTTGTTTACTTCCCCGACAATGTGTGTTGCCTGTCTACTTCCCCAACAATGTGTGTTGTCTACTTCCCCGACAATGTGTGTTGTCCGTCTACTTCCCCGACAATGTGTGTTGTCTGTCTACTTCCCCGACAATGTGTGTTGTCTACTTCCCCGACAATGTGTGTTGTCTGTCTACTTCCCCGACAATGTGTGTTGCCAGCCTACTACCCCGACAATGTGTGTTGCCTGTCTACTTCCCCAACAATGTGTGTTGTCTACTTCCCCGACAATGTGTGTGGTCCGTCTACTTCACCGACAATGTGTGTTGTCTACTTCCACGACAATGTGGGTTCTCTGTCTACTTTCCCGAAATTTTCTGTTCTCTGTCTATTTTCCCAACAATGTGTGTTGCCTGTCTACTTCCCCGACAATGTGTCTTGTCCGTCTAGTTCCCCGACAATGTGTGTTGTCTACTTCCTCGACAATGTGTGTTGTCTACTTCCCCGACAATGTGTGTTCTCTGTCTACTTACCTGACAATGTGTGTTCTCTGTCTACTTCCCTGACAATGTGTGTTGTCTATCTACTTCCCCGACAATGTGTGTTCTCTGTCTACTTCCCTGACAATGTGTGTTGCCTGTCTACTTCCCCGACAATGTGTGTTGTCTGTCTACTTCCCCGACAATGTGTGTTCTCTGTCTACTTCCCTGACAATGTGTGTTGCCTGTCTACTTTCCCAACAATGTGTGTTGTCTACTTCCCCGACCCTGTGTGTTGTCCGTCTACTTCACCGACAATGTGTGTTGTCTACTTCCACGACAATGTGGGTTCTCTGTCTACTTTCCCGAAATTTTCTGTTCTCTGTCTACTTTCCCAACAATTTGTGTTGCCTGTCTACTTTCCCTAAATGTGTATTGTCTGTCTTCTTTCCTAAAAATGTGTGTTCTCTGTCTACTTATAGGACAATGTTTGTTCTCTGTCTACTTATAGGACAATGTGTGTTCTCTGTCTACTTATAGGACAATGTGTGTTCTCTGTCTACTTATAGGACAATGTGTTCTCTGTCTATTTATCGGACAATATGTTCTCTGCCTACTTATAGGGCAATTTGTGTTCTCTGTCTACTTATAGAACAATGTGTGTTCTCTGTCTACTTATAGGACAAAAGGTGATCTCTATCTACTTATAGGACAATATGTGTTCTCTGTCTACTTATAAGACAATGTGTGTTCTCTGTCTACGTATAGGACAATGTGCGTTCTCTGTCTACTTATAGGACAATGTGTTCTCGGCCTACTGATAGGACAATGTGAGTTCTCTGTGTACTTATAGGACAATGTGTTCTCTGCTTACTTATAGGACAATGTGTTCTCTGTCTATTTATAGGAAAATATGTTCTATGCCTGCTTATAGGACAATGTGTGTTCTCTGTCTACTTATATGACAATGTGTGTTCTCTGCCTACTTATAGGACAATGTGCGTTCTCTGTCTACTTATAGGACAATGTGTGTTCTCTGTCTACTTATAGGACAATTTGTGTTCTCTGTCTACATATAGGACAATGTGTGTTCTCTGTCTACTTATAGGACAAAGTGTTCTCTGTCTACTTATAGGATAATGTGTGTTCTCTGTCTACTAATAGGATAATATGTTCTCTGTCTACTTATAGGACAATGTGTGTTCTCTTTTTTCTTTGAGGACAATGTGGTCTCGGCCTACTGATAGGACAATGTGTGTTCTCTGTGTACTTATAGGACAATCTGTTCCCGGCCTACTGATAGGACAATGTGTGTTCTCTGTGTACTTATAGGACAATATGTGTTCTCTGTCTACTTATAGGACTATATTTTCTTTGTCTACTTATAGGACAATGTGTGTTTTCTGTCTAGTTATAGGATAATATGTTCTCTTTCTACTTATAGGACAATGTGTGTTCTCTGTCTACTTATAGGACAATGTGTTCTCGTCCTACTGATAGGAAAATGTGTGTTCTCTGTCTACTTATAGGACAATGTGTTCTCGGCCTACTGATAGGACAATGTGTGTTCTCTGTGTACTTATAGGACAATGTGTTTTCTCTGTCTACTTATAGGACAATGTGTTCTCTGCTTACTTATAGGACAATGTGTTCTCTGTCTATTTATATGACAGTATGTTCTCTGCCTACTTATAGGACAATGTGTGTTGTCTACTTATAGGACAATGTGTTCTCGGCCTACTGATAGGACAATGTGTGTTCTCTGCTTACTTATAGGACAATGTATTCTCTGTCTACTTTTAAGACAATGTGTTCTCTGTCTACTTGTAGGACAATGTGTGTTCTCTGTCTACTTGTAGGACAATGTTTGTTCTCTATCTACTTATAGGACAATGTGTGTTCTCTGCTTACTTATAGGACAATGTGTGTTCTCTGCTTACTTATAGGACAATGTGTGTTCTCTGCTTACTTATAGGACAATGTGTTCTCTGTCTACTTATAGGACAATGTGTTCTCTGTCTGCTTGTAGGACAATTGTGTTCTCTGTGTACTTATAGGACAATGTGTGTTGTCTGTCTACTTATAGGACAATGTGTGTTCTCTGTGTACTTATAGGATAATGTGTGTTCTCTGTCTACTTATAGGACAATGTGTGTTCTCTGTCTACTTATAGGATAATGTGTGTTCTCTGTGTACTTATAGGACAATGTGTGTTCTCTGTCTACTTATAGGACAATGTGTGTTCTCTGTCTACTTATAGGACAATGTGTGTTCTCTGTCTACTTATAAGACAATGTGTGTTCTCTGTCTACTTATAGGACAATGTGTGTTCTCTGTCTACTTATAGGACAATGTGTGTTCTCTGTCTACTTATAGGACAATGCGTGTTCTCTGTCTACTTATAGGACAATGTGTGTTCTCTGTCTACTTATAGGACAATGTGTGTTCTCTGTCTACTTATAGGACAATGTGTTTTCTCTGTCTACTTATAGGACAATGTGTGTTCTCTGTCTACTTATAGGACAATGTGTGTTCTCTGTGTACTTATAGGACAATGTGTGTTCTCTGTCTACTTATAGGACAATGTGTGTTCTCTGTCTACTTATAGTACAATGTGTGTTCTCTGTGTACTTATAGGACAATGTGTGTTCTCTGTCTACTTATAGGACAATGTGTGTTCTCTGTCTACTTATAGGACAATGTGTGTTCTCTGTCTACTTATAGGACAATGTGTGTTCTCTGTCTACTTATAGGACAATGTGTGTTCTCTGTCTACTTATAGGACAATGTGTGTTCTCTCTCTACTTATAGGACAATGTGTGTTCTCTGTGTACTTACAGGACAATGTGTGTTCTCTGTCTACTTATAGGACATTGTGTGTTCTCTGTCTACTTATAGGACAATGTGTGTTCTCTGTCTGTTTCCCATGTGTGTTTACTGTACAATGCTGCAATATATTGTACAATACTGTACAAATGATTTTTTCCGACTACTTTCGTAACACTGTGTTCTTTTCCTACAATGTGTGTTGTTTGTTTACTCATTTGAATGTGTTTTTTTTTTTTTTTTAAATTGCCTACTCATAAGAACGTGTGTTCTTTGCATACTCATATGAACGTGTGTTCGTTGCCTAATCATAGGAATGTGTGTTCTTTGCCTACTCAAATGAACTTGTGTTCTTTGCCTACTCATAGAAACGTGTGTTCTTTGTCTACTTGCAGCACAAATTCAGAAGAAGAAAGCCAAGGAAGAGAAGAAAAGTTTAATCATTGGGCCAATGATCCGCAAGAAAAGCAGGGACGAGCCTCCGTTCGTGGTGCCGCAGATCTTCGTCGACTACGGCAGCCGCAGAACTTCCTACGCCTCAGCCTCGGAGCCCATGATGTTGGGGGCCCTGGCCCTGGACCTGAGGCGCTCCTCGGGCAGCAGTGCCGGCAGCCGGCGGACTTCTGTGGCTTCTGACTCGGACAGGTTGGTCACTGGGCGGCTGTGTTGAAGCAACAGTGTGTAGCAACAGTGTGTAGCAACAGTGTGTAGCAACAGTGTGTAGCAACAGTGTGTAGCAACAGTGTGTAGCAACAGTGTGTAGCAACAGTGTGTAGCAACAGTGTGTAGCAACAGTGTGTAGCAGCAGTGTGTAGCAACAGTGTGTAACAGCAGTGTATAGCAACAGTGTGTAGCAACAGTGTGTAGCAACAGTGTGTAGCAACAGTGTGTAGCAACAGTGTGTGTAGCAGCAGTGTGTAGCAACTGTGTGTAGCAGCAGTGTGTAGCAACTGTGTGTAGCAGCAGTGTGTAGCAACAGTGTGCAGCAACAGTGTGTAGCAACTGTGTGTAGCAGCAGTGTGTAGCAACAGTGTGTAGCAGCAGTGTGTAGCAACAGTGTGTAGCAGCAGTGAACATTGCGTCGGCACGAAAATACTAGAAAGAGCGTAAGATTAGTAACAGCAGTCAGTCGCGATGATGCTAAGAAAACAATTGTTTGGAGATGCCCCCCCCCCCCTTTTTTTTTCCCAATCCCCCCCCCCCCACCCCAACCAATCAATTAAAGAAAAAAATGGCCTATTGATACCCTAACCAATAAAAAGAGACAACAACTCAACTCCTCCCATGTACACCTCCACAATTGACAACTCAACTCCTCCCACTCGTGTTTTCACTAATCAAAAGAACACTATTTTGAATGGTGTTAATTGTTTTACAAAAGAATCCAACACCCATCTCAACTTCTCATACTGACGTGTTCACCGTAAAAAAATAATAACTACCACTGTCTTCATGCTACTGATTAATTTACCAAAGAAAATGACGAACAGTTTAACTTCTCCCTTTATGTTTTTACCAATGAAAGCTAACATCAACTCCTCCCACAGGCGCGGCTCCAACTCCAGCATGGGAAGCCGACGAACGTCCTACGCCTCGGACACTGACCGACGTGGCTCAGCCTCCAGCCTGGCCAGCCGCCGGACGTCCATCTTCTCCGAGCTGTCGGACCGACGAGAGTCTGCGAGTAGTCGCAGCAGCAGGAAGGGCTCGGACGGTAGCCGCTTTGGGGACTCCCAGTGTGATTCTCAAGGTCAGACAACCACACGTGACGTTCCTTGTTTCTGTGATCTTTAGTGTTAAGTACTGGGTGAGGTGTGTGGTGCCCAACGGTTTCTGTCAAAGATTAGACTTCAATCATTCCCTTCATCGGCTGTCAACTCTTCCCTCCATCAGCTGTCAACCCTTCCCTCCGTCGGCTGTCAACTCTTCCCTCCGTCGGCTGTCAACCCTTCTCTCCATCGTTGCAACCCTTCCCTCCGTCAGCTGTCAACCCTTCTCTCCATCGGCTGCAACCCTTCCCTCCATCAGCTGTCAACCCTTCTCTCCATCGGCTGCAACCCTTCTCTCCATCGGCTGTCAACCCTTCCCTCCATCGGTGTCAACCCTCCTGTTCATCGGCTGTCAACCCTTTCCTCCATTGGCTGTCAACCCTTTCCTCCATCGGCTGTCAACCCTTTCCTCCATCGGTTGTCAACCCTTTCCTCCATCGGCTGTCAACCCTTTCCTCCATCGGCTGTCAACTCTTCTCCCATCGGCTGTCAACCTTTTCTTCCATCTGCTGTCAACCCTTACCTCCATCTGCAATCAACCCTTCTCTCCATCGGCTGTCAACCCTTTCCTCCATCAGCTGTCAACCCTTCCCTCCATCGGCTGTCAACCCTTCTCTCCATCAGCTGTCAACCCTTCCCTCCATCGACTGTCAACCCTTTCCTCCAGTGTCGTAACTAGGGTAGAAACAGTTGGCGCTGCTTGAAAAAAAAAAAAAGCCTGTGTGTGAGCGTAACACCTAATTTATTAATTGGCACCGTCTTAACTGCAGGTCACACTCAGAGATTCCTGTTGCTGAAGATCACAAGGTCGCCAGCCTACAGAAATATCAACACTCAGCCCTGATCAACACTGTTGACACTTCCGTAATGTTGCTAGACAACATCACGATGTCTGTAGCACTAGCCTGTAGGTGATTCTTACACGATGTCTGTAGCACTAGTCTGTAGGTGATTCTTACACGATGTCTGTAGCACTAGTCTGTAGGTGATTCTTACACGATGTCTGTAGCACTAGCCTATAGATGATTCTTACACGATGTCTGTAGCACTAGCCTGTAGGTGATTCTTACACGATGTCTGTAGCACTAGCCTATAGATGATTCTTACTCGATGTCTGTAGCACTGGCCTGTAGGTGATTCTTACACGATGTCTGTAGCACTAGCCTATAGATGATTCTTACACGATGTCTGTAGCACTAGCCTGTAGGTGATTCTTACACGATGTCTGTAGCACTAGCCTGTAGGTGATTCTTACATGATGTCTGTAGCACTAGCCTGTAGGTGATTCTTACACGATGTCTGTAGCACTAGCCTGTAGGTGATTCTTACACGATGTCTGTAGCACTAGCCTGTAGATGATTCTTACATGATGTCTGTAGCACTAGCCTGTAGATGATTCTTACATGATGTCTGTAGCACTAGCCTGTAGATGATTCTTACACGATGTCTGTAGCACTAGCCTGTATGTGATTCTTACATGATGTCTGTAGCACTAGCCTGTAGGTGATTCTTACATGATGTCTGTCGCACTAGCCTGTAGATGATTCTTACACGATGTCTGTAGCACTAGCCTGTAGATGATTCTTACACGATGTATGTAGCACTAGCCTGTAGGTGATTCTTACACGATGTCTGTAGCACTAGCCTGTAGATGATTCTTACACGATGTCTGTAGCACTAGCCTGTAGGTGATTCTTACACGATGTCTGTCGCACTAGCCTGTATGTGATTCTAACACGATGTCTGTAGCACTAGCCTGTATGTGATTCTTATACGATGTCTGTAGCACTAGCCTGTATGTAATTCTTACACGATGTCTGTAGCACTAGCCTGTAGATGATTCTTACACGATGTCTGTAGCACTAGCCTGTAGATGATTCTTACATGATGTCTGTAGCACTAGCCTGTAGGTGATTCTTACATGATGTCTGTAGCACTAGCCTGTAGGTGATTCTTACATGATGTCTGTAGCACTAGCCTGTAGATGATTCTTACATGATGTCTGTAGCACTAGCCTGTAGGTGATTCTTACATGATGTCTGTAGCACTAGCCTGTAGGTGATTCTTACATGATGTCTGTAGCACTAGCCTGTAGATGATTCTTACATGACGTCTGTAGCACTAGCCTGTAGGTGATTCTTACATGATGTCTGTAGCACTAGCCTGTAGATGATTCTTACACGATGTCTGTAGCACTAGCCTGTAGATGATTCTTACATGATGTCTGTAGCACTAGCCTGTAGGTGATTCTTACATGATGTCTGTAGCACTAGCCTGTAGATGATTCTTACACGATGTCTGTAGCACTAGCCTGTAGGTGATTCTTACATGATGTCTGTCGCACTAGCCTGTAGATGATTCTTACATGATGTCTGTAGCACTAGCCTGTAGGTGATTCTTACACGATGTCTGTCGCACTAGCCTGTATGTGATTCTTACATGATGTCTGTAGCACTAGCCTGTATGTGATTCTTACATGATGTCTGTAGCACTAGCCTGTATGTGATTCTTACATGATGTCTGTAGCACTAGCCTGTATGTGATTCTTACATGATGTCTGTAGCACTAGCCTGTATGTGATTCTTATACGATGTCTGTAGCACTAGCCTGTAGGTGATTCTTACACGATGTCTGTCGCACTAGCCTATAGATGATTCTCAACTCTATCGTTCTCAGGAACATCCAGAAAAGTATCGTACCTTCACTGGTAACTAGCGGCCAAAACTGGGTGTGACCGTATCCAGGTTGTTATGACCTTCACATACCCTAGGTTGTTATGAGCTTCAAATACTCAAGGTTGCCATGAGCGCCACATACCGCAGGTTGCCATAGGCGCCATATACCCTAGGTTGCCACGGCACCACATACCCTAGGTTGTCATGAGCGCCACATACCCTAGGTTGTCATGAGCGCCACATACCCTAGGTTGTCATGAGCGCCACATACCCTAGGTTGTCATGAGCGCCACATACCCTAGGTTGCCACGGCACCACATACCCTAGGTTGTCATGAGCGCCACATACCCTAGGTTGTCATGAGCGCCACATACCCTAGGTTGTCATGAGCGCCACATACCCTAGGTTGTCATGAGCGCCACATACCCTAGGTTGTCATGAGCGCCACATACCCTAGGTTGTCATGAGCGCCACATACCCTAGGTTGTCATGAGCGCCACATACCCTAGGTTGTCATGAGCGCCACATACCCTAGGTTGTCATGAGCACCACATACCCTAGGTTGTCATGAGCGCCACATACCCTAGGTTGTCATGAGCGCCACATACCCTAGGTTGTCATGAGCGCCACATACCCTAGGTTGTCATGAGCGCCACATACCCTAGGTTGCCACGGCACCACATACCCTAGGTTGTCATGAGCGCCACATACCCTAGGTTGTCATGAGCGCCACATACCCTAGGTTGTCATGAGCGCCACATACCCTAGGTTGTCATGAGCGCCACATACCCTAAGTTACCGTGGGCGGCACATAACCTGAGTTACCATGGGCGGCACATACCCTAGGTTGCCATGAGCGCCACATACCCTAGGTTGCCACGGGCGCCACTTACCCTAAGTTACCATGAGCGCCACATACCCTAAGTTACCATGAGCGCCACATACCCTAGGTTGCTCTATTTCCTCAGATATTGACACAAATATTTTCGGCACCTATCCACTAATATTAGGTTTTCCTGTTTAGTTAGCCTGCGTTGCGCGTATGGAAGAAAACAAACACAAATAACAAGAAAGAAATAATGAATGAATGGATAACACCACATCCGGTGTCATGATACACAAACATAACCAACAGACCGCCCCTCCTTCTTCTTTTCTTCACAGATCTGTCAGACCCCGAGAACTACGACATGGACGATAGACGATACTCCATCATCAAGTACCCGCCTCGACGGATCAGCTATGACGTCAGCAGACCATATAAGGAACACACCCCGCCCTACAGGCGCTCCCATTCGCTGGCCGAGCTCCAAGAGGAGCAAGAGCGAGAGAAATTCGCCGCCCATCAAGAAGGTATGTATGTCTGTCTGTGTGGTAAAGCTGGGTGATTGGTTGGTTGTCTCAATGATCTATCACAAATGCCCGCCCTGTCTTGTAGCTCCGCCTAGACAGCCACAAGACCTAGTTCCATCATCTGCTAGTCTTCGTTTCAGCTTCATAGCTACTCAATCCAATCTCGTCCTTTTGAAGATGAAATTTTTTGTAAATCGAAGCCCCACCATGGCTTTTGCCAGGGGCCGCAATATAGGCAGGCCATCAATATGGCCAATTGTCTGAACGTGGTTTCTGGGACCTCTCCACGGCGATCCTCATCCACATGCTGGCACTTTGTGTCATCGGGTGTTTATCGCTTGTGTGATGTCCTAGTGGGGTAGAAAGTCAGTCAGTAAGCTTCATAGCAAACGGGTCATCCCATAGTTGCTCCGCTCCTGTGCCAACGAAAAACACACACAATGTTTATCATAGTCTCTTGTGGAAAGATTGACAGACTGCTGTCTCAGCATATGCGCTAGCATACACACGCATTAAAAGCATACTATAGCCATCCGAAGTGCCAACACAAACAGTCCGACATTAGAAATGCAGTTTATCATGGATGGTAGCACTAGTGACTAGCAGAAGTCACCAACAGATCAGCAGTTGCACACGCAATCAATTTTAATCACATAGTGGCAACACCAATATTGCGACAACCGGCATCGCGCCATTTTCTGAATATACAATTCACACAGAAGCTGGGCAACGAAACTATATCCCTCCAGTCTACAAATGGAGCAAAAATGCAACGGCCACCGTCTGGCAGAAGCAAAACAATTTGTAACGGCTCAAAAAAAAGTGGCCGTGCCTAGCTTCCATTTTGACCTGAAGCCTTATGTGAGGTTTAATAAACGGTCACCCCAGCAGTACCCTCACGATTAGCTGGGGAAGGGACTTAGGACATTACATCCACCAGCAGGCGTCGCCCCTACAACGATCTGTCTGCCTTCGTTAACCACTGTTCACCTAACAGCCATGCAGTTCTTTGGCACGAAGGAGACACGTTAAACTTGGGCTTTCCTTTGGGTATAGTTATTTCACATGTCTTCATTATCCACGAGAAAGTGATACTAGTAGTAACATCAGCAGTAGTGTCAGTAGCAGCAGCAGCAGTAGTAATGGTACTAATAGTAGGAATAATAGTAGCATTAGTAGTAGTAGAAGTACCAGCGGCAGTAGTGGTAGTCGTAGTAGGAGCTGTAGTATTAGCAGTAGTAGTGGTAGTAGTAGTAGTAGTAGTAGTAGTAGTAGTAGTAGTAGTAGTAGTAGTAGTAGTAGTAGTAGTAGTAGTAGTAGTAGTAGTAGTAGTAGTAGTAGTAGTAGTTGTTGTTGTTGTTTTTGCAGTAAAAGTAGTAGTCGAGGTTCACATTTCACTGACCTGTTAATATCTGCATGATGTTCTTCAGACAGCTGCTGACCAAAATGCAGATTGTATTGCTGTCAATAAAACTGGGGCGTGGCTAGGGGCGGGGACGAGACATGCCGTCGTCACGTGGTATAGCCATGTCAGAATGGCAGTGTTTATATCCTGGCAGAGTGGCTGCTCCCAGAGACGGAGAAGACACGTAATCATCTGTTGGGGGACATATTTATCAGATGGCGACGACGATGCTGTTATTACCATCAGGCGCCGCTCTGCTGGAACAATACCCCAAATATTACCATGCCAACTACCAACATAATCCTCTGTCAACTACCAACATTATTCTCTGTCAACCACAAATAAAATAATCTGCCAGCCACAAATATAATCCTCTCCCACCGAAATAATCTCTACCAACCACCGATATAATCTCTATCCACCACCGATACAATCTCTACCCACCACCGATATAATCTCTACCCACCACCGATATAATCCTCTACCAACCACCGATACAGTCCTCTACCAACCACCGATACAATCCTCTACCCACCACCGATACAATCCTCTACCAACCACCGATACAATCCTCTACCCACCACCGATACAATCCTCTACCAACCACCGATACAATCCTCTACCAACCACCAAAATAATCCTCTACCAACCACCAAAATAATCCTATGCCCCCTTGTGTCCTCAGTGCGCCAGTCTCCAGGAGTCAGAGACAGGGAACGTCGCTCCACCTTGTCCAGCCTTGTGTTCAGCAGTATCGCCGCCCTCGACCAGGCCGGCAACGTGGTCGTCCCGCCCTGTGTCCAGAAAAAACAGAAGGTACCTGTTCAATCACCTGTCTACATACATTACATGCCTGCCTGTCTGTCTACATACATTACATGTCTCCCTGTCTGTCTACATACATAACTACATGTCTGCCTGTCTGTCTTTACATATAACTACATGTCTGCCTATCTATCTTTACACATAACTACATGTCTGCCTGTCTATCTTCACACATAACTACATATCTGCCTGTCTATCTTTATACATAACTACATGTCTGCCTGTCTATCTTTATACATAACTACATGTCTGCCTGTCTATCTTTATACATAACTACATGTCTGCCTGTCTGTCTTTATACATAACTACATGTCTGCCTGTCTGTCTTTATACATAACTATATGTCTGCCTGTCTATCTTTATACATAACTACATGTCTGCCTGTCTATCTTTATACATAACTACATGTCTGCCTGTCTATCTTTATACATAACTACATGTCTGCCTGTCTATCTTTATACATAACTACATGTCTGCCTGTCTATCGTCACACATAACTACATGTCTGCCTGTCTGTCTATATACATAACTACATGTCTGCCTGTCTGTCTTTACACATAACTACATGTCTGCCTGTCTGTCTTTATACACAACTACATGTCTGCCTGTCTATCTTTATACATAACTACATGTCTGCCTGTCTGTCTATACACATAACTACATGTCTGCCTGTCTATCTTTATACATAACTACATGTCTGCCTGTCTGTCTTTATACATAACTACATGTCTGCCTGCCTGTCTGTCTTCACACCTAACTACATGTCTGCCTGTCTATTTTTATACATAACTACATGTCTGCCTGTCTATCTTTATACATAACTACATGTCTGCCTTTCTGTCTTTATACATAACTACATGTCTGCCTGTCTGTCTATGTACATAACTACATGTCTGCCTGTCTATCTTTATACATAACTACATGTCTGCCTGTCTATCTTTATACATAATTACATGTCTGCCTGTCTGTCTTTATACATAACTTCATGTCTGCCTGTCTGTCTATGTACATAACTACATGTCTGCCTGTCTATCTTTATACATAACTACATGTCTGCCTGTCTGTCTTTATACATAACTGCATGTCTGCCTGTCTGTCTTCACACATAACTACACGTCTGCCTGTCTGTCTTTACACATAACTACATGTCTACCTGTCTATCTTTATACATAACTACATGTCTGCCTGTCTATCTTTATACATAACTACATGTCTGCCTGTCTGTCTTTATACATAACTACATGTCTGCCTGTCTATCTTTATACATAACTACATGCCTGCCTGTCTGTCTTTACATAAAACTTCATGTCTCCCTGTCTGTCTAGATACATAACAACTTGTCTGCCTGTCTGTCTTCACACATAACTACATGTCTCCCTGTCTGTCTATGTACATAACTACATGTCTCTCTGTCTGTCTACATACATAACTACATGTCTGCCTGTCTGTCTTCACACATAACTAAATATCTGCCTGTCTATCTTTATACATAACTACATGTCTGCCTGTCTATCTTTATACATAACTACATGTCTGCCTGTCTATCTTTATACATAACTACATGTCTGCCTGTCTATCTTTATACATAACTACATGTCTGCCTGTCTATCTTTATACATAACTACATGTCTGCCTGTCTATCTTTATACATAACTACATGTCTGCCTGTCTATCTTTATACATAACTACATGTCTGCCTGTCTATCTTTACACATAACTACATGTCTGCCTGTCTATCTTTACACATAACTACATGTCTGCCTGTCTATCTTTACACATAACTACATGTCTGCCTGTCTATCTTTACACATAACTACATGTCTGCCTGTCTATCTTTATACATAACTACATGTCTCCCTGGCTGTCTACATACATAACTACATGTCTGCCTGTCTATCTTCACACATAACTACATGTCTGCCTGTCCATCTTTATACATAACTACATGTCTGCCTGTCTATCTTTATACATAACTACATGTCTGCCTGTCTATCTTTATACATAACTACATGTCTGCCTGTCTATCTTTATACATAACTACATGTCTGCCTGTCTGTCTTCACACATAACTACATGTCTGCCTGTCTGTCTTCACACATAACTAGATGTCTGCCTGTCTGTCTTTACACATAACTACATGTCTGCCTGTCTATCTTTACACATAACTACATGTCTGCCTGTCTATCTTTATACATAACTACATGTCTCCCTGTCTGTCTACATACATAACTACATGTCTGCCTGTCTATCTTCACACATAACTACATGTCTGCCTGTCTATCTTTATACATAACTACATGTCTGCCTGTCTATCTTTATACATAACTACATGTCTGCCTGTCTATCTTTATACATAACTACATGTCTGCCTGTCTATCTTTATACCTAACTACATGTCTGCCTGTCTATCTTTATACATAACTACATGTCTGCCTGTCTATCTTCACACATAACTACATGTCTGCCTGTCTGTCTTCACACATAACTACATGTCTGCCTGTCTGTCTTCACACATAACTACATGTCTGCCTGTCTGTCTTCACACATAACTA